GCGTCTATGTGTCTGGCAAACTCAAAAACCAATCCATCTGTGAGGTTTCAATATGCAGCTATCCCCACTCAGCGCATGTCTGGCAAACTCAAGAACCAATGCACCTGTGAAGTTTCAGTATGCAGCTATCCTCACTCAACACGTCTATGTGTCCGGCAAACTCAAAAACCAATGCACCTGTGAAGTTTCAGTATGCAGCTATCCTCACTCAACACGTCTATGTGTCCGGCAAACTCAAAAACCAATGCACCTGTGAAGTTTCAGTATGCAGCTATCCTCACTCAACACGTCTATGTGTCCGGCAAACTCAAAAACCAATGCACCTGTGAGGTTTCAGCATGCAGCTGTCCTCACTCAACGTCTACGTGTCTCGCAATCTCCAATACAAATCACCTGTGAGGTTCAATATGTGTCTTATCCTCATTCAACGCGTCAATGTGTCCGGCACTCCAACATCACTCATCCCGTGGGGTTTCAGTATGCNGCACCTGTGAGGTTTCAGCATGCAGCTGTCCTCACTCAACGTCTACGTGTCTCGCAATCTCCAATACAAATCACCTGTGAGGTTCAATATGTGTCTTATCCTCATTCAACGCGTCAATGTGTCCGGCACTCCAACATCACTCAACCCGTGGGGTTCCAGCAGCTATCCCCACGCAATCCGTCTATGTGTCTGGCAATCTCAAACCTCCCCTTTCCGTGGGGTTTCAGTATACAGCTATAATCACTCAACACGTCTATGTGTCCGGCACTATCCAACATCACTCAACTCGTGAGGTNCGCGTGCATGACCTTTGTTGCGCCTTGGTTTTTCCCTGTCTGGGGTTCCCCCGATGTTGTATTATAAGAACTCACGAAGCTATGGACGCCTTGCCGTTGAAAGGGGACGTTTACCGCTGTAGTATTTTCTCGATATCTTGGGGGGCCCGTGTGTGTTTGGGAATAGAGTAACGTACCCCTTCCATGTGGTTTCGCCAGCCAGGGCTCTCAGTTTTTGCCGTGGTTCCTTGATTGTGTGTACATCTCTTGCTTGCCTTCGAACATGTCCTTGGGGTGTCCTGTGATGGGCCCCGCACAACCCAATGCCTGAGGCTTCGGCTGCATACACGCCGGGCCGCTGTTGTGCTGACCTGAACTCAGGCCACGGGACCACCACGGAGCGTAGACTGATTTGCCGCCGAGTGTTGGTGTGATGTTGCTCCAGGTGTTGTCGGCGTTGTGGCCCTTGCTGTGGGAAGCGCGCTTGTTTAGACTGACGGCAGGAACGATTCGAGCGCGGTTTCCTCTCCTCGCCGCCTTTGTTGGGCATGTTTCGACGATCGACTACACATCGCGATCGTGTTTTTTTGCTAGATTGCGTCTGGGATTGCTTCACACATATTAACGCCGGCATGCTTCTTCCCCCCTACGCGGGATAGGCACGGGTTTCCTACTTAGTTACTTGCTCTCTTAGTCGCTTTCCGGACATCCCTTGTTCCTTTTTGCGTACCGGTCCGCCTCTCTCATTCAGCTTGACTGCTGTCTTGGTAATGTAGTGCCTTTTCGTGACCTGACTTTGCTCGCGTGTCCATCGCCAACTTCGTTTTGCCTTCTTTTCCGGTTCCTTGCAGACGGAGTTCACAAAGATGATGGCGGGCTTCTTCGGCGGAGAAGGTTTCGTACTCCAGCGACTTACCGGAAAGGGCGATGCCTTCGTCAAGGCCAGGTACGGTACGGTGCGGTGCGGTACGGTACGGTACGGTACGGTACGGAAAGGCGCGCGGGTGTATTGGTGATGGTCCCGTGTCGCTCGCAAAGTGATGGTCCCTGTCGCTTACAAGCATGAACGTGTTCTGTTTAGTAGCGTATCGATCGTAGCTGTGCTGGTGGAAGAATAACTTGGAGAGGCTCCTTTGCTCGTTTTGCAAGCGATCGTGGGAGAATATTGGCGACACGAAGTGATGACAGCGACGCGTCGTCTAGGGTTAACTGGTTCCGACAGCAGTGACGGTGATCTCCGGGGACGGAACCCTCGTTATGCTGAAGGTCTTGCGGTGTAAATGGTGCTTCTACAAGTGATCCGGCTGAGATTCGAACCCATGCATGTATGCGTGTGCTAAGAACGACTATATATTTCATCCACTGTGCTAACAGAGCATTCGAATGAAAGCGCTCCCTCTTTCAACACCGTTAGAGAAGCGTTGCTGTTTGCGGTTACAGCTGTCCCTTGGTAAAAAGTGCGCCAAAATTGTGAATTTTTTTGTTTCTTGCTCCTTTAATGGCAGTGGTCCGCTGATCCAGCGCGAGCTTCGCGAAGGGGAGACCCTGAGAGTGAGCGCGGGCAGCGTCGTCGCGTTCTCGACGTCGGTTGAGTATGACGTGCAGACGATTCCCGGCTTCAAGAACGTGGTCTTCGGGGGGGAGGGGCTGTTCATCACCAAGCTCACGGGGTAAGCACGCAAACAGCACGGCAGGGACGAAAAGACATGGTTGCTGCATGCACACCTGCTGCTGTGTACAGGCGGTAGCCTTTTTTTTTTTTTGCGGCATTGGGCGCCGTCAAAAGTGCCACGTGTTGCTGCTGAGGCGGGCAGCAGTGGCCACGTCCCCCCGGTCGTTGCTGTTTGCACGTCCTGATTGTTTGTACGTGCGTGCGCCGGCGTATATCAACAGAGGAAAAAGTGAGACTCAATCTCACCGTTTGGTGCTATCGGGCGGGCTTTCCGGCAAAGACTATTTAGTAGGAGCCTACTTCGTTCTGCCCGATATTCGGACGAGGTTCGTTGTCCTCGCGCAGAACACATGCATGACATCCTTCACGAGTGTCACCTTCTCCGCCGGGGCTGTTCGCCAAGCTTTTGGCGGCAGACCCCACGGGCAGGAGCAGTCCTGGCGTGGTATTGTTGTAGCGTGCCGGTTAGAACCACACGTGTGTTTCAGGTCCTGGCTTGTGATGTACGGTGGGGAAAGTAGGCTTCCAAGCCCGCCTGTCGACAACGCTTTTTTCTTTATTTGCTGGGAGCTCTTTCCTTTCATTGCCGGGAGCTCTGTGAATTTTGCGTGATGGTGGGATCGAGCTGGACAAGAGAACGTGCTTGATCGAAATCTGTCTCTCGTTGGGTTTCGGGGTGGCCGAAGCACATTCGAAACCCTTCTTCTCGCCGCGCCCGCCTGCGGTGGCGGACAGAAATCCCCAGGCTTGATTTCCCCCATCAACCCACAATACTATGCTCCGTGCAGTAGAAAGGTTTCTGATTTCTTGTTGCTCGAGCGTTATCCGTGCCAAGTGCTGTGATTACCCCCCCCCCCCCC